ACCTTTCAGCTCTCCATTTTCTGCTTTCCTCAACCGGGTTTTCCTTGGCCGTCGTTGTGCGCTCTGATTTCTCTCAATTTCTTCCTTTTCGTTTCGCGAAATAATCTCCGGCGAGACACGATCTTTGATTTTTGCAATCATTGTTGGCTCTTCTTGTCTGTTTTTGGCTGCCATCCGTACGTTGGATCGTCATTTTCTTTTGAATTTCAGGGGATTCAGGTTTTTATTTTTTTGGAACTTTTGTATGCAGCTTTGGAAGACATTTATGCGTAAGGTGAGAAACTTTGGTTGCTCGCTTTTGGGTTTTATTGTAGAATTAAGTTTTTCTATATATATATATATATTTTATTTTTAAGAGTTACATTCGTGGGAATTCATTTATTCTTCTTTTTTTTCTGCAGCTGGAAAATGCCACCTGATGTGAGATTATAATTAAATATGAATATCAAAATGGGTTTTCTGTGCAAATTTTCTTTTTCTGATTTTTGGGTTTTTGTTTTCAGGTTTTAGCGCCGTCGTTTTCCGAAGCCCTCTCAAGGTAATTTCTGGTGGATTTAGATTTTTGTTTTAAGTTTTATTATATTGGAGTTAAATTCGGTTGCACCTTGGAGTTGGTTTTGTTTAAGTTTATAATGAAGTTGAATTTGGTTGTTTTTTGGGGTTGATTTTGTTTAGTTTTATTTATGCTTTTTAACTTAAGGAGTAAATAGGTCCTCATTACACAACCAATGTACCACTTAGATACATATATGTATAAGTGAAAGGTCAGACTGATACATTTTGGACAAGTGTATCAGAAGTGTACCTCCGATCTGGAGGAGTTTCTCCATTGAAGTGCTTTAAGATATGCTCAAAGCATTTGACCATCTCTGGGAAAATCATAGAAAAAATTGTTAATCACAATGATGTAGATAGATAAGGAACATCAAGCGTAAACGGGAAATCCAAAAATTTAAGGGTCTGTTTGGTATACTATTTGAAATTTTTTTATCATTTCTCAAAATATTTCTTAAGAATATTTCTTAAAAATTTGATTGGTTTGTGATTTAAAAATTTTAAATCTTACGACTTAAAATAGACAAAGAGATTTAAAAAGAGGGGTCGTAGGAGAGGGAGAAAGATGAGAGAGGAGGAAAGAAAATAAGTGATAATTGAAGGAAAGAGAAAGAAGAGAGGATCGGACGAGATAGAGAGGAAAAAGAGTGAGAGAAAGAACCAAAAGAACGAAGAGAGCAGATTTGAGAAGAGACGAAAAAGGTAAAAAAAAAAAAGAGAGAGAGAAAGAAGAAAAGAGAGAGAGATAGATTTGGAGTGAGAGGGGGAGGAGGGAGAGAAAGTAAATGAGTGAGTTTAAGTTTAAAATCTCTAAAAACTCATTTTTTATGTTTTTAGATAATAGACTATATTTTTTAGTTAGTCTTGAATTCAGTTTTTGAAAATAGTCCTACCAAACAAGTTTTTAAGGCTTAAAACTTAAAAATTGTTTTTGAGTTTAAAAAGTTGGATTCAAGTAGAGTACCAAACAAGCCCTAACTGGCTCACAATCTGACTTGGGACAACCAGAGTTTTTCCATCTATACACCTTATATGGTTATAGTAATTCATGGCCTCCCAGCCATAGGGAAGAACGACAGAAGTGCCAACTTTCGGGATATTGATTCGAGACAACATAGTGGCACTTGTTCTGTATGATGACAGAAACTGGATCTCATCCTGTCTTGGGGGACCTTTGGTAGGCAAATGATGCCTTTGTCCAACCTAATGCAGTGTTAGCCAAAAATTGTGTATGTTTTATGCCTGCGCCTGCTTATTACTTTTGGAGCCAATTCCAATCAAATTTGAGCATTTCATATTTTTTTTTATCGGTTTTACCTGAAAGGGGAATATCCAGAAGATAACAGGAGGGCAATTCAACAATGTTCATGCATAAGGAATCCATGGCCTAAGAGAAACCCATCTCCAGGTTCATCATAAATTGACAATCAAGCCCCGTGCAGCTAAGGCCTCAAAAAGCTATATCGAGCACTATGGAAGACGCGATATCATCAACTTTTGTTTCAGGCTGGGCATGGCTCCCGAGCGACCTTCTACATTTGATTGTAGAAAAGTTGATACCAACCTCTGACTATATCCGATTTGGTGCAGTTTGTAAGCATTGGCAATCAGTCGCTTTGCTTCAGAAGCAGCGGCGCCTCAAATCACATCAACAACAGCTTCCAATGCTGATTATTCCCAGCAAAGACAACATCAATGATAGGCGTGGCTTGTATAGTGTCATGCATGGTAAGAATTGTGGCTTTGAGTTGTATGTGCCTTACAACAACAGGTGCTGCGGTTCTTCCCACGGTTGGTTGGCTTGTGTGAATGACAATTTCGGGGTAAATCTCTTCAACCCTTTTATCAAACGTACCATTCTCCTTCCACCAGTAACCAAAGTCCCCCAGGACATACGAAAACATGCTTATAGAAGAGATCACTACATTAAGAAGGTTGTATTGTCTGCAGACCCTTCTTTGTGTCCAAATGATTACGAGGTTGTGGCACTTTTCGATTGTAATGGAACCAGAATAGCTCATATCAAGTCAGGGGACAATGCTTGGACTCACATAGATCAAACAATCAGATATTTTTATGGTCTGCATCAAATAATAGGATTCGATGATGTACTATACTATAGAGGCCAGTTTCTTGCTGCTAGTCGGGAGGGTGGAGTTTTTTCGATTAACATTAGCAATGACTCAACTCATAAGCCTCATGTAAGTATAGTTTTACCAATAGTTCCAAGTATTGATGACAAAGCATACCTTGTGGAATCGTCCCAGGGAGATCTTTTGCTGGTCAGGAAGTTCCAAAGTTTGAATTACAGCGAGTGTTTCATTGAAAACTTTAGCTTCAAGGTTTTCAAGCTGTTCAGTGCTTCCGGGGGTAGAACTGGACCCGAATGGATCGAGGAGATTGAGAGTATTGGAGATGATGCTTTTTTCATGGGTGACAACCAGTCCATATGTGTCTCTGCTTCAGACTTTCCAGGATGTCAGCCGAATTCCATATACTTCTGCATTGATGATCGGGTGGGTGTGGCTTATGAGGAAGCTCAAGGATCTCTTGACATGGCAGTTTTCAATTTGGAAAACAGAAGATTCGGAAGACGTTACTACTGCTTAAGCCGTTCGCAGAAGAACATGCCGCCATCTATTTGGATTTTGCCCACCATGGTGTGAAAACGATGTTTTGTATGACAGAATAACTTCAAGCTCTTCCATGTGATGGAATAATTTGAAGCTCTATATTTCATTTGTGAGTCTAATTGTAAGCTTATGTTAATAGTTATGTTTTTTTTCCTTATAAAAACGATATTGGGGGAGGAAAATACGAACACAGAACCTCGGCTGCAAGAGTAAACACACTTTACTCCTCGAGCTTCAAAACCTTTGCAATTTGTGTGTTATGCTAGTCGGGAGGGTGGCGTTTTTCGATTAATTTTAGCAATGACTCTCCTTTGTATTAAGAATTTGGCCATGTTGAACCATACAAGGAGAAAAAGTCATAACCTTTCACATTGGTTTTGCTGAAATGACAGAATTTCCACCTTGTAACCAACGAGAATTACAATTCAACAACGTCGATTTAATTTACTGATCGGATTTTGCGATTTAATTTACTATGAAGGCCGGTTTCTGGTTGTTAGTTATGACGGTCTGGTTTTTTCGATGAACACCAGCAGTGGCTCGACTGCTAAACCCGATATAATCCTAGTTGTTAAACATGCTCCGCAAGGAGGAGCAACCCTTGTCGAATCGTCCAGTGGGGATCTACTGCTCATCCGGAAGCTTGATGTGTTTGATTTTTGGTTTGGTAAGATGACTCAGGGCTTCAAGGTTTATAGGGTGGAATGTGCTTGCGGGGATAGACCCGAACAAGTGGAGGAGATTGAGAGTATTGGAAATGATGCTTTGTTTTTGGATTACACTGCATCCATGCGTGTGCCTGCTTTGGACTTCCCTGGACGTCAGCCGAATTGCATATACTTCGTCGCTGATGGCCGGACAGGTCATCTTGATGAAGAACCTCAAGGGCCTCTTCACATGGGTGCCTTCAACTTGGAAAACAGAAGAACGGAAACGGACCAGTACTGCATCGATTGTCCAAAGGCGAACATACCACCATCGATCTGGATTTTCCCCACCATTGTGTGAAAAGATGTGACTCAAATTCATCAAACAGATTTCATTGCTGTTTACTGAATCTATCATCTCATCCGTAGCTTAACGCCGAAAAAAATGTATTCAAATTGCAACTGGCTTCCAAAAACAGTATGTATGAAATTATTTGTCTTCAATTTGTGGCACTTCATTCTCAGTAAAGAACATTTAACAAAATTCCAGATCTGCTACAACATCGAAGGGCAGACCGAATAAAAGAACGACAAAACTTATCGTTCATTATCCAGATTGAAACAACAATCCCTCTAAAATTGATTACTCATGCGGAAGAAAAGCGAAGTAAAAACACAGCATAAAAGTAGAGAGGTAAATTTGCAGTTTTGACTACTCCCGTTACATTTTGTGCAGAAGCAATTCATCCGGGTGAACCGCCTGCTGCTGCCATTAGCCAGGATCAATCAATGTGCATCTTCTTCTTCACAAAACTTGGTGTACTTTTCTGCGTCCAACAATTTATTCAGTTCACCACTATCGCTTATCTCGACTTTCATTATCCACCCATCCCCATACGGGCTTGAGTTGACCTAGTTCAGAAAAATGAATCAAACGTTACGACCATGAAGGGTGAGTGGTGAGGAATCTTTGCTGATGTGTCTGTAATGATGCAATGCTCGTACCACATGCATAACTCCAGCAGTTTAAGGGAATTTTCAAAGCTGAAGACTTTGATAGTTTGGAAAAAAACTTAAGGAGAGTTAAAAATTTCTCACAAGACCACTAACTTTACTTTAATCCAAATAAACCTAATAGAATGCAAGTGTCTTCAACTGTTTATCCAAGCCTTGATTGTGTCAAATATTGCGAAGTGGGTTAGCTTAAAACCGATTAATCATTTAGAACTAAGTTTGTTCAATCTTTCAGGAAATTTAGCAAGATGTCTTTTGTTTCTTGACTTCTCAAACAAAAGATGGGGCATCAACAACATTTGTGATGTTAATTTTGAATCATGTCTCTACTTCAGATATAAGAATTTACCCGAATTACAAGTGGTAAAATACTAATAACAATAATGATGACAGAAGTCGTGAAAAGCTCACGACTGAAACCTGGTAGTCAGTTTTTATGCAATTATTATACCAATGGTAGAGAAATAACATAGGATACGGGAACCTACCAAACCAGGGGAGTTGCTAAGCTCTTCATTGACTTCAGTCACTTTTCCCGACACAGGAGAGTAAACATCACTGGTTGCCTTGACACTTTCAACTGCTCCAAAGCCTTCGCCCTGCTTCACAGCAGCCCCCGCTTCCGGCAACTCAACATACACAACATCACCTAAGTGATCTTGCGCATGATCAGTTATTCCAATAGTTGCGGAGTTTCCATCAACTTTCACCCACTCATGAGAATCGGCGTACTTGAGATCTTTCACAACTGTAGTAAACAGAAAAGTAAAATCTGAAACCACCACAAAACTACGGAAAATTTACCATCCACAATCCAAACAGGAATCTAAATAATTCGATCTATCAACATAATAATAACAACTTCTTTCTGAGCTTTGATGCAGAACAGGATACCTCATCAGATAATATCGTCGGGGAAAAACAGAATGAAAATACTGTTTTTTTTTTTTTTTTTGGTTGTCATGAAACCGACTCTGAGAATGTTTTAATTGGTTTTTATAGGCAAAATTGCAACGAGAGACGGAAACAGAGATCCATTACCTCCTAAGTAAACATTTTGCTCATTCATAATAAACAACGGATACTTTTATCTAGACACGAACTTGTAATTCCAACAAACGAAATGAAGTCCCGAATATGTATCTGTCAAACACCATTCACAATTCCACAGTACTTCGCAACTGAAGCCAATTCCAATCAAACAAAAACAACTGTTGAAACATAATGGACAGATCATTACACACATCACACTGACATCAACAGATGCAAAAAAACGCAAAAACCCATTAACGTCTTGAAGATTAAATCCAAAACCTACACCAAATCAAACCATTTGCCGAAACACACACACAACCCATCAGTAAAAATCAGATCTTTTATAGCAACATGATGGATCAGGCATTTCAACAAACACATAACGGAGATCCATATCTTCCCCAACAAACAAACCCCATGTTACAAAATACCAAATTCTCAATAATCCCAGTATTAACCAAAAAAATACAAGCAACCCATGTTCAAAAGCATTCATCTTTCACAAAGATCATTGCAGAAACAATAAAGCAAATCAGAAAGAATGAAAAAAAAAAATGATCCAATAGAAGTGGAAATTTTGTGGGTTTTTTGTTTGCTTACCAGAAGCAAATCCTCTGAGGGTGGTTTGGATTCTGAGGTAGGAAGCCGCCCTTGACGCCCACACCAACCTTGAAGCCATTTGTGAAATCCAACACAAAACAAACACTACCGCTCTGTCTCTCTTTAAATATAAAAACTTCACTCCATTTTTATATAGTGGGGTTGGTAGGTTTGCTTTTTAATTTGCTTCCTCTGTCCCTAATTATTTTTATTTTTGTTATAGTATATGGTACATTTGGAATTAAATTAAAAAAAATAGAAATACATGCGAAGGAAACTTTAATGAAAAATTTTCGGTACTGTTTATTTTAATGAAAAATTATATTTTTACATTAAAAAATCAATCATGGTATTATTTATTTTACATTTTATTATGTCGTTATCGTTAAAACTCAAAGTTTTCATTAATTTTCCTAATAATATATTGAGAGAATAAAAAAAAAAGGTCGTACCCAGTGCACAAGACTCCCGTTTTACGCAGGATCTTGGAGAGGTAAATGTCGGCTAACTTTACTCCCATTTATGGAGAGGCTGCTCCTAAGAATATATTAAGAGAATATTTTCAGAAAAATGAAAAGTAAATGGAGATAGGAGGTGGTGGGTCAATTCATCAACAAACCTAATAAGGTTGAAGTTGGTGAGTGTCGTTGTGGCAGAGTGATAGTCTCGGATTATTAATTAATTAATTAATTTTAGTTTGAATGTCACATGGTTCATGGTTGCATGGAAATTTTGTAAGACCAAGCTGGGATCGGTGAGTTTTCTTTTGTTTCTTTCTCCTCTTCCTTTCGCCGTTTTCTTCCCTGGGTTTATTGGCCGATTTGCCTTCTTCTCTCCCCTTTGTTGTCTCTCCTCTGACTTCCTCCAACTTCCAAGCTTCAGTCTCCCTTTGTAGCACTTTGTTGCGATGTTTTGAGTTGGTGTGCTTTGATCTGGTGCTTGCACTGGGTCGGGTGTTCCTTGCACCCCCACATTCTCTTTGTTGTCTGCCCTTGTTGGTAGTGTTGCTCATGGTCTGCCATGAGCTTCTTTCCCTTGGCTGCCGATTCTCTGGTGTCTGTAGCTGACCTTGGTGTGAAGCTTGGCGTTGGTTGCTGATTTCGGTGAGGCGCGGCGTTGTTTGGGGTGCGACTTTGGCTGAATCGACATGCACGGCTGCGGTTTTGGTGGTTGTAGCGGTGGCTATGGCGGAAAACGCGTCGGTTCCGGTTGTTTATGTGTTTCTTTGCTTTAGTCTCACCTTTTGGTTGGGCTTCTGTTGTTTGTTTGTGTTTTTTGTTTTTGGGCCTCTGTGTTGTACATTTTGGGCTCTTATGTTGTAATGCTGGTTGTGGTTAATACTATGGGCAGCCTTGCCCGAATTTCTAAAAAAAAAAAAAAAAAAAAAAAAAATTTACATGTGAAACGACAATCTGACCAAACTTTTTGTTCACTTTCCTCACTTGTTATGACTAATGCGGAGTTCGAAAATCATTTTCTTTTTATTATTATAGTCAAATTAGGTCATAATTTTTCTATTAAGTATGTATTATGTTAGATTATTAATTCGATCCATTACTCATTTTTGTGAAATTCTTGCTACTTTTAGGTGTTATTCTAAAAATTCTTGTAAGCACCGCCAGCTTAGGCGTTAGGTGGATGGTCACTGACCCTATTAATTCTTAGGTGTTTGAAAATTAAATAAGAGCACCCAGACCTGCCTAGGCACTCACCTAGGTAGCGACTCTCACTTAGCCAGAAATTAGATAACTTTTATATTGCATTTTATTTTTTCAATAAATTGTAAGAGACTTCTTAAATACTTGGATGAACACTCATTATATGTTTGTTTTCCATATTTTCAATGTGTTCTAATAGTTTATAATCTATGACACCTAGGCGCTAGGCCCCTACCCATTGCCCAACTAGCACTTAGCGTCTTTTTAAATCTTGTTCTCGTGTGAACTGAACATAATTGCAAGAGGAACGGAATAATAGACTTCCAAGATGGTTGAGTGATCGAACTAACAATTTAACAACATAACAGTTATTCGTGCATGTTAGCTTCTTTCTTGCAGTCTTTAGTCACATAGAGAGATATGGAGCTTTAGCATTTTAGCCATGAGCATACCTTAACAGCTAATGCTTTCTGATGATTTTGATGAAGAGATGGATAGTTAGGATGACAAAATGTAATACTTTGTGATCAGTGTTTACAAAATCCATCCATCAAATAGGTAAAACAGTCCTGACATCCTTGTGCATAGTTCTAATAACAGTACTAACCTGCTCGGTTTGATCATCGCTTGAACACGCTCCAAGAAGTACTTTTGCAGTTTCGACATCTGGATAGCAACCGGCACCAATCATTTCTTCGAAAATTTCCAAGCACCTTGTGTTTAGTTTCTTTATCGGGTATGCTCCAAGCCTCGAAGTCCATGTCACAACATCAGATTTCAAGTTTTTGAGTGGAAGCGACTGAAAGAGCTCTTCCATCTCGTCGAAAAATCCTGCCCTTCCGTATATGTTAATCAAGATGTTTTATGTACTGATATCAGCTGCAGAAGGTCCTTTTTCCATTGCTGTCATAACTTCCTCCATCTTTTCTAACTGACCCAACCGGCCATACAGATTTAATATGCTGTTGATGACGAAAGTGTCTAGCTCCAGCCCGGACACTTGTATCTGGTTAACAATGTCCTCACATTTAGCTACGTTGCCAGCTTTGGAGTAGGCGGATAAAAGTAGCATATGGGATTTCTCTGTCGGGGTTATTCCTAATCGCTTCATCTCTTCAAACGTAGCTTGTGCATCTGATATAAAAACAGACTCGTTCGTTATAGTTTCAATCACGAACACAATTTTGCCTTGAATCAATGTCATTTCATCGTCATGTGAAATGAGTAAAGATCAAATTATTTCAAGCAAATGAGTGAAAAGTATGAGGTCTAATTGTTATTCTTTACCTTCATGAAGACCAACGCTTCCATATGCATCTACCATGATATAATACGAAGCTCTATCAGGTTCACACCCATGCGCTGCATGAGGGAGAAAATTTCTGCAGCTCCCTAAGGAAACCCTGCACGACTGTAGGGAGCAACATCTTGTAGAAGTTGGGGTGTATACTGCTGCTTATCGTGCAATGAAAGTTTTGTACAGTTACTTGATCAAACTGCTCTAACTAAACTACAAAATTTAATCAGATCATAACCTGTAAGCTTCCATAAGGGCATTATACGCGTACACATCTGGCTCGTGCCCTGCTTCTTGCGTTTGCTCAAAAACTTCTTCCGCTTTGTCACAAAGTCCTTCCCTACCAAATGCATTTACCAAAGCCGTATACGCGCATATTTCTGTTAATGCAACTATACCTCAGAAAGTATTGAGCAAACAAGTTATTAAAGGGTCTAAATCTTTACCATGATGTTAGGGAAAAATTGCCCATGAGTCATGACAGAGTGACGAAAACTGCAGTAAGGCCAATCACATTGGCCATTTGTGAACAGAAAGGAAAAGGCAATTAAATGGAACTTGAAGCAGTAAAGCTCCGAAAGCGAAATTTAATGTCAGAAGTTGTGAAAGCCATGAGTCTTGAAACAAATAAGAAAGAGAGAATCAAGGAAATAGTAAACACAAAACAATGCACCCTCCTCGATACTGTGAAGCAGTCGAGTCAAGCTTGAAATTTTAAGCTAGTATTGACTAGTTTTCGCATACACCCATTACAAACCAATGATACAGAAACAGTACGCTTTTGAGTACGCATTCAGAAGCCGGGAATCAGAGAGTGAGTGAAGGGAGAAGGAGCACACATGAACGCTTGGAAATTGGAGGAGGAGGAGGAGGAGGAGCTTCCAGTCTGGTATTCTGTGAGAAGAAGATAGTGTTTGATGGCATGCAGGAAGGGTGAGGACAAAACATGTGAATTTTCAAAATATCTCACACCTTATATATATAAAGGACAATACAACATCTTATCTTTCTTTTCTCTTGTTCTTACTTACCCGCCTAGCTTTAATCCAAATTTTACTCTTTTGCTAACGTTTGAATAAAACCATCTGTTAATTCATCTGTGCTAGGTTAAAGATATGCCATTCTTAAACAGAAAATGTCGTTTTGGGATCGCTGACCAACTAGTTCTTAGTGTAGCGGTGCTTATTTTAATGGTAGAACAGACGTCAAGTTCAAATAGAAAATAATACCGAGGTTGGTTCGAGTATTTGGGAATGTATGCGAATGTGAAGTAAATCCGTTCTCGGCTATGACCTAATGGGAATAGCAAGTACGGTTTTGAAAACGAAAATGTTATCAAACGGCCCGTAACATTTTGAAAATTAAGGATGGCAACAACAGATTAAGTTCCACTTTAAATTCATAAATGGAGAATAAGCATTGTACAAATTTTGGGGCAAAAGTAAACGTGTTAACGCATTTCAAAGCTGTTCACAATGAGCTCAGGAATTGTAAGGCTTAAGGCTACAAATAATGGCAATACAATGCTGCTTGAGCTCAAGAAGTCTGCGACTCGGTTCCTAAAGATTCACAGCACAATCATATACCAAATCGTTCTTGCTTAATACGCAACCATCTTGCAACATAAATTGGACTTTTAAAAGTTTTGTTTTTTCGAATTTTCCGCTGCAACAGCCACACTACTCAACCTCAGCCAAATAATCTTCAATCTCTGCTGGGGTCAGCACTCTGCAATAAGGTAAGCATAAAAATTAATTAGAAATACACTCCGATGGGCAATGAGCAATCATTTATAAGTACCAATTATGATTAAAGGACACTAGTGCGGTGTCACGGGCTTGGCACACACCTAATGTGTTCATCTCTTCGGTGTCTATACCAAGTACATTAAAAACAAAGGTTTTGCTTCTAAACACAGTCCAGATGCAGTTACCCCTTCTTTTATAGCAGTTGGAAATAATTTCAACTTTGTGAAATCAAAGCTAATCCTTTAGCACTTGGCTACTTTAAAGTTGAGTAAGTTGGCTCCTTGGACCTAAATAAGGATAGGGGGAGGTGAAGGGTTCTCTTCTTTAATGCGTTGACATAGTACTTTTATTTTTCATTGGATTTTGCATGCCACGTGTATGTTAACTAACATGCATCCTATATCTCGCTAAAGTATTTTCTGCAATCAAAACTATATTTAGTAAATTGACTTAAGAGCAAAGATGCCTCGGCAGGAAGTAAAGATGGAGCTTAACCTGAACTTTTTGTCTGTGCCAATAATCCCAATCTCAATGTTTTTTCCTGAGATTTGTCCTTCAAATCTGCATCAAATATGAAGCAACTACTTATACCGCTGACGGATAAAACAAAGTTTCTTCCACTTTCTGTGGCTCCTAAGCATTGTGTATTTATAAAAGAAAAAATAAAAACATAAATTCTGGAAGTTAATGGTTATGTTATATACCCTTCCTTCAAAGTCAAAATAGCCGTGTGCACAGCATCATCAAGCTCCATATCTTCAGTATACCTATTAGAAAAGAATAATAAAGAAACACACTTCACATTTGAGGACTATAAAGAAATTGAGGCCGAAATTTTAATTTTATCCAGCATAAACCATGTCTGACTATTCAACCAGAAAACAGAAAAACACGTCTGAGTACCTCTTCTCAAGAAAAGTTTTTGCATTTGAGACATTCTTCCCCATTGCAGAGGCTTTCCATGAGAAATATGAACCGGAAGGATCAACCTACAGAGAAATATAAATTAACCATATCAATAGTAGTAGAATTAGCAGAATTAGCAATCATATAACTGTCAACATAGGACAATATATAATTTTCATTACACTACTATTCCTGACAGGAGTTTCTCCTCTCCGCCCATCCAAAATAGAGTTAAGATTCAAGAAAACTAAAAGCACACAGAAGTACAACCCATTGCATGAAGAGGTTGAAATGACTAAATCAGCTCAAGCAAGATTACTAATGGTCAATTTAACAACCTAATTTTTGTTAAAAGCAACACATTCCACATATTAGATATTTCTACGCCTGCAAAAAAATTTGTTTAACAAACTAACAAAGCTAAATATTGGGCAGCAGCAACCCAACCAAATATGTTACAAGAATTTGTTCCAAACTCTTTCAACTTTAAATTGAGATGTACTTTCCATAGATGGCATTGTAATTTGCAACCAGAAACAACAAATAGCGAAAAAGTTAACAAGAAAATAACACATTGGAAAATGAAAATACCTGGTATAGTTGGGGACCACTGTCATCAAACCCGGCAACCAGAAGAGATACTCCAAATGGCCTTACACCACTACAAAAGAAGGAACGAAAAATATTTCAGTAAATTTCATAATATGAATATCCTTTAGTTACTCATCTTCAAGTTCAACTACTCAAACTCAGCTGCAATTGCCTTAAATAATAAATCTCACAAGCAGGAACCCTTATGAACTTTCAAAAGTTATACTTCTCATAATTTATCACCTTTTATATTCTCTCGTCTCACTCTCACACACACAAGCAATATCTTATACCGTTGCCCAAGACTTGCAATTTTGTAGTGACCGAATGCAAGTGTTTTAGTTATAAGTCCAAACACTAAAGATTTTGGAAAAGGATCCAATATCGTACAAGACATACTAAGGTACTCGGTGCTCAATGCTTGAACAAGGTTACTTCTTCCACACTTGAACCCATGAGCCATCACAAAATTATTGTGGGTCCAAATGTTCGAGAAAAAACCTCCCATTCAAAGAGCACCTTACACCTGTAAAACTTGACTACAAAGTGTTTACCATGGGTGACATTAAAAAGCTAACATCATCTAGAGACCATTGGTCACAGATATGACGAAAAGATTTCTCAATGTGACGAAAAATGGGCCTAGGCCTTGTGTATCAAAAAATAAACCACAATTTATATAGATATATAGTGTGTGATAATTACCCAGATTGTGTGAACTCCTGCATAACAGCCGCAGTTTCCCTCACAAGTTGAGTAACAGGGATAGGTTCCTAGAAACATGATAGTTTTACACAAGTTATAACCTTTGCAATATACAAGAGCACTTATTATTATAGTTCGCAAGAACTTGACAAGGGAATGATGACCATTTGTCACATCACATATTAAAAATAACTAATCAAATAGGAGAGGAGAAAAACTCAATACCTTATATAATCTGTGATATTGTTCTGCCTGCTTCCTGCTTTTTCGGACCAAGACTCGAAAATCAGGACCCATACCGCTGCAGGAGAGAAAGTAATGGTAAGAATACCTATAGACTGAATGAAGATAAATAATAGATTCAACAAAGACACAAAACATTAGGACACTGGAACTGTTGTCAAAAGACAAAAGTAAGGGTCTCGTGTCTATCCAAACGTGATCATTCAGAAGCCAGAATTGTATTCTCTCAATGCAAGTTCATGAATGCAGTGTCTTCTACATTTCTTCAGTTAAACTCGCACTTATCACACAGTATTGCACATCCAACACATGACCCATCCTCACATCAATAATATGGTCCTTTAAAATCTATATATAACAGTAGAAAGCTGATATCAATAATATGGTCCTTTAAAATCTATATATCACAGTAGAAAGCTGATCAAGTTTCTCTAAACTCAAAGGTATCGAATTCATCACTAGAGTAATACTGTCTCTTGAAATTGTAGGTAACTCGATATTCCTCTAGGCTGAGCTTTCTAATGCTAGCTATATGATATTATACCCAAGTCTCTAATACACATGACCTTGTAAACCATGTTTAGGGGCCCAAGGTTATAGAACTTTACAAGAAGAGCAAGGACCAACGACTAGAAAGTCCACAAAACAAAGCATCATTAATTATCCTTACACTAAGTATTAGATGCAACATCTTCTTTATGAAGGAACTCAGTACTAAGAAAAAGCAAGCCTCGTGACAGGAATCAGCCAGAAAGCAAACCTGTAAACAAGTCCAATATTGGGTGTCAAACTCTGTATTTTTTGAACCTGGCCAAAGAAGACACATCATTAGAAACGACCATCTTAGGAGAGAAAACTTGTGTGACTCTGAAACTAAGAAAGTAGAGCAATTTACAATGCATCACAGTAATGACAGTTTATTGTAAAACAGAGCTCTAGAGAAAGGAAAGAAAAAAATAAAATAAAATAAAAACTGTTCAGACCAGGAAAGGGGAAAATTAACTATGCCGATCATACCATACACAAGAGAAACAACCCTATGAAAACAAAATGTTGTTCGAGGACATAGATATTATACAACGCACGCTCGGGGTTCCATAAGTTACGCAATGCTAAAAGTGATACAAACTTATAATCACCATATGAGTCACTCACTACAAACACTAAGCAATGTAACTAACATAAACAAATATAATGAATATTAAAATAAGATTGTTTAAAATGATTGAAACTTTAAATGGAAAACATAAAGAGTAACCACGAGTGACTTACGGATGCTTCATCAACCAAGATTGAAGGTAGCTTCTTCTCGGTTGCAATAACAACTCCATTAGCAGCTGCAGTAACCAGGTAAACACACAATTAAACAACCCAACTTTTAAAATTTCTATTCAACTAAATACCAGATAATACTTTTGAGCCATCAAAAAAATTGATACCCAAATAAAGAATGCATCTTTTCATCCAGATTCTACTAATATTTCAATAAGGAGATTCAGCAAACCGAATGGATTGTAAGTACTGAGTGCATTATTACCCTTGATCCCGAGAGAGGTTTGGCCCGACCCGACTGCCGTCAAAGCGTGCTCGATCTGCACTAGCTTCCCTGAAGGACTGCTCACCATACACCGCAAATAAATCAGAAAATACAAAAACCCAACTAAATTTCCAGAGAGAGAGAGAGAAAGAGAGAGAGATACCTGAAAGTGGTGAGAGAAAATGAGTACTGGCTGTCTCCCATTGTTTTCTAGAGAGAGAAAGACTGAAGCTTTTCTTTTTTTCTTCTGAGAATCGGAGAGAGAGATTTGGGGTGGTTTTGGCAGAAAGAATGGAAGGGGGTCTAAAACTGGAGCTTTACTTGTTGGAGAAGAAGGTTTTGATTGGGCTTTGTGGCCCAAAAATGTGACCCGACCCGAGCCTGTTTAGAGTTTTTTTTTTAACTTTCTTTTATTTTTTGGTTTTCTTTAGAAGACGAAGGAAGAGGAAAAACCCTTCTTCTCCATCACGAAAGCATATCATAAATCAGACCATCCCTCTCTGCAGAAGCAGCACTCATCGCATTGAAGCAAATCGCGTACTAATTCGGTAACTCTCTCTCTCTCTCTCTCTTTCTCTCTCTACAGGCACATATGGTGGTGTAGGTCTCTGTGATTCTACTGAATGGCGAGTGAGAGTGGATAAAGAACTGAGCTTTTGATTTCTCGCGATTTCTCACTATTTTCTGTTTGGGTTCCGGGAAATTTCAAAATTTTACCACTGTAATCCCGATCATATTTAGCATAGAATGTAGTTGGGTAAAACCCCTTTTGCTGGTTTACCGAGCTAGGGATGGATCTGTATGTAATCTCTGATAGAAATTTTGTGTTTTATTACTGCTGATTCAGATCAATCTCAAAGTTCCAATCAGACCAAAATGTTTCTCACAAGGTGAATTGCATTTTTGAGGATTTTTTGAAGTGAATTATTTATCTCGAATTATGTATAATATGTATATACTTATTTTCTTATTGATTTGATTGTGGGGTTTGTGCGTGTTGTGAAGGACTGAGTATGACAGAGGAGTAAACACTTTCTCCCCCGAAGGCAGGTTGTTTCAGGTTGAGTATGCCATCGAGGCCATCAAGGTACTTAACCTTATTAATCCTTGCCTTCGAACAAATTAAAAAATCTTAATAAGTTTTAGCTGTATTTATAAATAAAAGGTAGGATTTCGAGTAGTTGGTGTTATAAAGTTATTGGTTTTGATGTATTACATACAGTTGGGTTCGACTGCAATTGGGCTAAAGACGAAAGAAGGTGTTGTGCTTGCTGTGGAGAAGCGCATCACTTCGCCTTTGCTGGTCTGTAAACTCTCTCTTTATATGACTTCTATGTACTTACCAATTTTTACTTTTTGTTGTTAATAGTTTTTATGGCTATATTTCAAACCAAAGCTGCTAGACCATATCTTCTCAAACAAAATTAAATTCCTATGAGGTTGTTTCAAATGTATGTAATAGCATCTCTTGATTTTTTGGAAGTTGACTTGTTATAGATCCTTTGTCCTTCAACACTTGGTACTTTTTGTGTCTGGTGTTTGCAAATTGTCAGTATCTTGTCGTTTAAGAAACATGCTTACATTAGGAGCAGTAAAGCCTCTGAAAGGTTTATATGATATCTCATCTTAAAATTGTATTGGGTGGATCAACTTTTGTCTTCCAAAATGTTTCCTTTGTCCTCTCTCTCTCTCTCTCTCCTCGTTTTTCATGGATATAGTTGTTCATTTTTCAAACTCTAGAGATTCGCAGTTTCATTGATGAATGCTACTCTATACTGTTTGCATTCAGGAACCCAGCAGTGTGGAGAAAATTATGGAAATTGATGACCATATAGGATGTGCCATGAGTGGACTGATTGCTGATGCTCGTACACTTGTTGAACATGCACGAGTTGAAACTCAGGTAATTTTCTTGGTGGTTACACACATTGATCTCCTAACCTTTTTACTGGTTTACTAACTTCCAGTTTTTGCAGAATCATAGGTTCTCCTATGGTGAGCCAATGACTGTGGAGTCTACAACACAAGCTCTTTGTGACCTTGCCCTACGATTTGGTGAAGGTGATGAAGAGTCCATGGTAATAGCCATTTCATTTCTTAGTTTATATGAAAATTTATATGAAATTTCATGTTTTTAATCTTTAGTCAAATAATTAAGTTTGCTTACTTTGGGAAATGGTAATATAATATTATACTCATCTTCGTTAAAGTTTATTGAACTTTTGTGTTCATTTTATAGCAATTTATGATCAAGCACTTCAGGATGAAAGTCTAGAGTTTTTTAAGATACCTGTTTACCTTTGAGAAAGAGATAAACCATGATATACTTGGCATCATTTTTTATATTAGTGAAGTATCTTTTGGCACTATACAACATTCCCTTTGTACTGTTCCTGTATTCTTATTGATATGTAATACACCATTGCTATGTGCTTGGCTCTTTATATTCTTTTTTGCAGTCTCGACCATTTGGGGTATCTCTCCTAATTGCTGGTCATGATGAGCACGGGCCCAGCTTGTAAGTGATACTTGATCTACTTTGTCTTGCAGTATTCGACATGTATAAACATTGATAGGTGATAAGATGCTTTATAAAACTGAAAAATAAAAAACTCCCAAATCGTTGCTTCTGTTTCGTACATCCTCTTCTCTTTCAAGTACTCATTTTTTTCTCTGAATTAAGTCTGTTTCCTGTCGCTGCAGGTACCACACCGATCCATCTGGCACATTTTGGCAGTGCAATGCAAAAGCTATTGGTTCAGGTTCGGAGGGAGCAGACAGCTCTCTTCAAGAGCAATACAACAAGGTATCTTTGCTTGTTTTAAGTTTAACTGATGTATTCTTATTTCTATAAACATTTCTTACCGGGTCAACCGACCTGTCAACCTTCTCAGTAAGGAGTATGAAATGGTTCTACACATGATTGACCTTCTAGGTCGAAGCCATTTAAAACATTTTTTTTTTACTATTTTATGGTAGAAACAAGATATGGAGGAACTTCTTCTTCATGCTTTTTCAACTATATAGGTTAATATTTTCACGTATTGATGGTTTTCAGGACTTGACTCTTCAAGAAGCTGAGACAATTGCTCTGTCTATCCTTAAGCAAGTTATGGAAGAAAAGGTGACGCTTTATAATAGATATAGGTTTTGTATGCGTACTTTACTTGAGCGTTGTTCTAATTTGCATAGGATTTACACTGATCGACCTATGGTACTGTTTTCAGGTGACACCCAACAATGTAGATATCGCAAAGGTTTCTCCAACATATCATCTGTACACCCCCTCTGAGGTGGAGGCCGTCATTGCTCGCCTATAAGTTCTCGTGTTTCTCTGAATCGAATTTGTTTCTCGTCACTACTGTTTTTGCTAAGTTTAAAGAAATGGATTTCGGATTTGTTTCTGGTTAACCGGTAAAAGTCATTCGGTAGTGCAGTGCAATCCTAAAACATTCCAAGGATATTACCATCTTACTTTGATGAGCAGATGCCTTCCTGCGCTCTAATGAAGGATTTCATGTGAACTCGAAACTTTTTGGCTGTCATTTTGTTTTGTGCACAAATCTGTGGTCAATGCAGGGTAGCAGTTGAAATGTGATGCCTTTTATCTTACTTGCATGTTGAAGTCGGTTTCCGTTTGTGTTTCAACTGAATGCTTGGAATACTACATTTGCTGATCAGAGTAGAATTGCACCGTGCTATTTGACCGCTTTTACGCTCTATACCGGTGTTTGATTGCAGAGCGGTAATTAGATTTGGAGCTATGAAGGCTGTTTCTTTTACAGAACAACAGTCACTCGAATACTTCATAGCTTCGGGTAATTAGATTTGGAGCTATGAAGGCTGTTTAATTTAAATGAGCGGGTAATCGCGGTTACCTATAACCAATGGGTATTTGCCCATCCCTACCCTCGACCAAGAGATAGAGCTCAGAAGTTGATCTCGCTCGGCCGGGCGTTTCAAAATATATCAAGTTAATTGGTTCTTTTGGATGAAAATAACCTTGTGGATTATCAAGTTAATTGGTCCTCTCTATTTTTAATCCTTGGATTGAATAAATCGAAGAAAAATCAAGGACCAAAGATAAACATGGTGTGCACGAGAAGAAAAAAGGTGTACGTTTGTCATTTACCATTCCCTAAATCAGCAGATTGTATGGCTGAAGGCACTGAATTCTGATTATGCTAAAATAAACAAACGGTAAAATTTCCAAATAATAAAAAATTGCTCAACCTGTTTACATGGGAAACGAGAAAATCAGTTAAGGTATTTGGATATGTGAAATGAAGACCCACTAAAATTGCACCGTTAAAAATATGCGATTATAAGGCTTAGAGCAAAAAGGGTAAAAGAAGATCAAGAAGACTTAAAAAGAGACTATGTTGTTGTAATAAAAAATTGCTCTACTGAAAAAGAACTCTGATATTTCATAAATAAACCAACGGGTTCACTTTGTTTACATGAACCCTCTTATTACTCCATGGGGACCTTCGTAACAGTTCAAAAATATATGAATCCCTTCTTGTTACAGACAAATTAATCCCAAGCAACGCTACGGTCACGCTAAGCCTTTCAAGCGCTATTCTTAATGTCCAGGACTGAACTACTATGTATAGCCACTATATTCAAGAACAAAAATCATTGGAATTTTGATATTCTATCGAACTACGAGTCCTGATGAAATTTTATTGCAAACCTGTTCTCAGTTCTCACCCATCCTTTGCTGCCAACCTTACCCTGGGCGTACGACACCACTATATATCTCTTTGGCAAAGGTCATCTGAAGCAGCAGCATCAGCCTAGCGACATAAAGTGAAGGCCGCACCATCAGAAGCATTGCCGAAATGGTCAAGCAACCATCTGGATTTTGATTTCCTGCACAACAGAAAATAAGAACCATGTAATTCAAATTTGAAATCAATTATAACTATGTATGAAGGTAGAACAAATCAAAACATAAAATCCAGGAAAGCGAGTTTTGTGGACACAGCAATAGGGTTAATTTTACTTCTCTGTAGGGGTTGTTTGTCAAAAATGTAACTGATACGCGAACTTAAATCATATAGTAACAGAACAAGTAAGGACTCGTTTCAAAGCATATTTGATACTTTCTGTCCAAATAAGGCTAACGGACTATAATGTCTTTTGCCTAGATGTGAAAAATGGATCAGGGTTTAGAAAGGGAATTGTTATTGACACTCCAAAAATCTTATTCTACACTCCAAACTTTCTATATTTGGAAAGAAAAATGCACTTGTGAGGAGTTTAGAATGAGATTTTTGAAGTGCCAATAACACTTCCCTTCAGAAATATGTAAAGTGC